GAAACTATACTTGCATGTGGGAATTCCTGATATTAGTTCGGGTTTTAGGATTAGGAGTAGGAGGGGGTGGGTTGGTCGTTTGGGGTTTTTTTAATTTTTCTTTTTTATTTTTTTTTTTACCATAACCACTTGGTAACTTTTAAGAACCAATATTTTTTTTTTAATGAAGGACAAATTGTAAACCCCCCAGCCCCGAGTGTATATAGGCCGCCTGTAGAAGGTGTAACTATGCAATAATACAGTATCCCTGTAGTTGTGAAGCAGCTGCTTCTCCCCAGCACAATGACAATTTGCAATGCCTGCGAGATTAACAGTGTCCATAAAAGGCATGGGTAGCCATTTCAAACATCAACCCTGTTTACAGAGCAGCTATGCACTCAAGCACCTGTTAATATGACTCTTAACAACTGCTTTTCAAGAGAACTGTGACTAATAGCAGGCACTTGTCAGCCGATACAATGGTGGCCTGTCCCAAGGCTGCCCATCGACAGGTGTGTGCCAAAAGCCCTATTTATGGGTATTGACAGGTGCCTCCTGAATGCATCTTTCTTTGGACATTGTTTTCATGGAATCATTACAAAGAGGATGTTTACATTTCAAAGGTACACTGGTATTTATATTTTTGTGCCACAATTTTGTACTGATGAAACTTTTTATATAAGTATATACAGTTTATTGATATTCAATAAAATTTTTAATTTATAATAGGGTTTTGTGGGTGCTTAGGGCCAGCGTGCAGCAGCAGGTTTGCAGGGGGAGTTCTGCGGCCCCCTCCTGTGCTGGGGGGACCGGGGTGCTGGGCTGGATGGGGGTGCTGGACTCTGCTCTTCTGCTGCAGGTGAACAGCAAGTGGCATTTGCAGGAGGAGATCCCTTTGCAGTTGCCTCTTGGGGGAGGAAAAGGGCGGCCAAGCCAGCTCCTGCCAAAGCACCAGGGAGGGGGCAGCTGTGTGGCGGTACAGGCTGGGGGGCACAGGGCTGCTGGGAGGGCAGTGGATCTCCCTGGTTCCGTGTGGGAAAGCCCAAGGGCTCGCCCTGTCCTTTCCGGCCTCTCCGAGTGGGTGCCGGCCTCCCCCGCAGGGCCCTCGTACACCCAGCAGCAGAGGTGGCCGTCCTGTTGTCACCGCAGAGCCCTTCAGCATGTGCAGGTGGGGCTGTCCCCTGCGTGCCCGCAGCCGGGAGGGGACCGAGGTGCTCCGCCATACCCCACGTACCTGCCTCCAGGATTTCCACAGTGAAGCTGTCCCAGTGCCCCGTACCACCTGCCTTGCACCTCCCCAGCCCCCTCCGAATTCGGGGTGCTCTGGGGACAGCACAGCCAGTCTTGGCCCCCGCCTCCCCCAGGGGCTGGGATTTTTGTCCTGCCCCCCCTGCATTTCCATGATGCCATGTGCAGGACATCGCTCTCAACCAGGGCGTAAAGGCGTGTGCCCCCCAGCACTCCTCCCCCCCCCAGCCCGCTGGCGTCCGGCTGCCTGCACCGCTCCCAGGGGCTGGTACGGAGCAGGAAGATGTGTGCGGCTGTAAAAGGCAGCAGAGCTGCTGCTCGGCCCTTCTTTAATTAAGAGCTCACCCAGTATAAACTGACTTTCCCAGCCGAGTTGGACTCATTACTTGATTATTAAGCAGGGCAGGAAGTTTTGGGTTTGCTCTTGTGTGTGCTTTTTTCTTCCTTTTCCCAACAGGAAGCGGGGGAGGGGCACTAATTACTTTCAGCTTTCCATCCATAAAATCCTGGAGCCGCAAAAGCAGCTAAATAGTTAAAAAAAGACCAGTTTTGAGAACGGACCACCTGCAGGAGCTGGAAAGGAGGGTCGAGGAGTGGGTAAGCAGGGAGCAGAAGCCCGCCGAGCCCTGCACGGGCTGCCCGGGTCGGGGTCGGCTTTGCGGCTCGGACACATAGGAGCCCTCGGTTACTGCTCAGCATTAGGGCCCTGCAGCATGGGCATCCAACCACACTGCACAGCCTGGGCCTTATCCCCATCCCCGTGTGTCATGGCTGCCACCGATCTGGATGGGGACCCTTTCCCGCGTTATCTGGGCTGTCATTTCATCCCTGCACTGGCACCCAGCTGGGAACCCTGCCAGCTCCCTCTCAAAGGGCTTCCACTAAAATTGGTTAGGCAGGCGATGGAAGTTGTGAGAAACCTCCCCCTTAGCAATCTTTCCTGCTCTCAGTTGTGTCTCTGGCTTTGTCCAGAGCCTGGCTGGGACGCGAGGCTTTTAGAGAGAAGGTATGGAATGGGTGGAGGACAGCTTAGGCCCCGACTGACAAATCCCACTGGCATTCAAACACAAATGCAGCCTTAAAACACTGGAAAAAAGAAATGCTGCCTGTTCTGAATTACAAAAGCACAGCCCACTGGCACTTGGGCTGCTGCTGCATCTGCTCCCTGCCCTGCCCAAGCACCCAGAGCCCAGGGGACCTGCGGCTGCTCAGACGGGAGCACCCTGTGCCCTGGGCACCCACGGCCGCCCAGATGCCGTCCTGTAGCTTGGGGCAGTGCCTCTGACCTCCTCAGGATGTACACAGGGCTGGACCAGCTGCTGTCCTGTCGCAGGCTGGTGAACGTGGCCCAGATCCCTGCTCTGCTGTCCTTTCTCTGCCCCCATGCACCCTTCGGGCTCTGGGATGCAGAATTGCACCCAGGAGCTGGGCCTGAGGATGAGCTGCATGCTTTTTCATTTCATTTTTGGAAGTAAAACCCCACAGAGCAGCAACCCTGGCAGCAAAGGCAGCTGGCAGCAGCGCTGTGGTCCCCTGCCCTCGCCCGGGCAACAGTTGCTGCACGGTGAAGCCAGAGGGTTCATGGTGAAACCTCAGCAGTGTTTTTCCCCTCTCTGTTTCAATGCCACAGGAGCTAAGCACACCGTAAAGCTGCTGCATGCAGCCCGGCTGTTTCACCCAGGTAGCGCAGGCTGCAGTTTTGGTGGTGGGGACAGCGGTGGGGGGGG